CATGCAGGCGTGTGCACACTCACGTCTGTGCATCTGTTGAGGACCCCTTTTGTTTGGTCACCTCAGCACCAGTCTACACGTCTGTCTGCTGGTCTCCATGACTAGCACCACATTCCACTTGCTTGTCCGTCCATCCACATCTATCCACATCTACTGTACACCCTTTTGAGAGTTGGGCTAAAGTGTATTTGCTATTGCTTTACTCACACGGCAGACGACAGAACAGAGCTACCGAGGCATAGGCAAGAATAGGTGGCTCGGTTTAGTTCGGTGCTCAATAGGGCTTGTCTGGAGGTTCACGTGAACACGAGACCAACATCACATCTTTGAGGGCATCGGTTTGGCATTTTCGCCCTTCCACTGTCCCATCGGCCAGCCAGCCTAGATGCCAAGACAACTGCATGCCCATCCTGTCCAGCCTCATACTGTCTTGGCGCCATGGTCATGATAATTATCGCGCATACGCAGTCGACTGGAGCCGAATGGCTCAAGTGGACCGGCAAAGGAAGTGGTTGACCAAAGAAAACGCCTAAGATGTATATGCTAGCCACGAATCAGAGAGGTCCGTCCAGTCGGAGGGATGGTTTTCACTGGAGCATTGTGGGAGTCAAGCAAGGGGCTTCGGAGGCTAAAACAAGCAAAATAGGTATTATTTTATTGGAGAAGCAGGCCGACAGGATGAGGGGAGAATGGAGGCAATTTGTCCCATCCGACTTAGGGAGGCAGGTGTACAGCCTTGGCACGGGAGAGAGCAAGAGAGAGAGAGAGAGTGAAAAAGAGAGGACACAAATGAATTACTTTGTCGTTTTTTCTGGATGCCTCTCATCGAAAAATAAACAAGAAACAACAATCAGCAATTTTTAAATAAGAACTTAGTCACCCTTGGTCGCTTAATGTGATTTAAGGACAGATAACGCAGTTTTTCCCACAATCCTATGGATAGGACTCATCCAGGCTGGACTTTATGCCTCCTCTTGCCTATCAACACTTCAACAAGATTCAAAACCGAGTCACATCATTGTGGAGGAAGCTATATTATCACTCCTTAATAACTCAAAGTAGCATAGGATGACTAAAGCGTCATTCAGGAAACTTGGCAAATTATTGGAAAAAATAAGCAGAAATAAATAGCGTGAATAACTGGAATAACATTTAATAAATAGCTTTAATAGCATAATTTATATAGCTTTTAATTTATAATTGAATAAATACAATTAGATCAATAATAATACTACTAATAATACTAATACTACAACAACTACTATAACTAATAATAATAATAATAAGATGATGAGAATGAGTATGATGAGGATGCGAATAATTAGTTACTGTACCAAATTTTGAGCAAAATTAAGTGAAGACGATACTGGTAAGTCGATCAACGATGGTTGAATGAGTAATTTGGGGCGTTAAGGCTGAAACAGTCCTCAAGAATCCTTCCTTCGGTTCCTGTGAAAATGTGCAAAGCCTTCATTTGTCATTTCACATAGCAGACATCACCAGGACTGAAACCCACTTTTTACAAGTAAAACCTACTAAGAGAAACTGGGTTTATAGATGACATTGTTGGGGGTTCTTCATTTCGAATGAAAGTGC